CAGTGTTTTCCCTAGATAGAAGTTTAGCTGTTCTTATACAACCTTTTATGATCAAAATTTAACTATTGAGTATTTTAGTCTTATAATCTACAGTGTTGGTACTTAAGTGCTTAGATAATATGGTTCTTGGAGTTTCGTTAATATGCTATAAAATACTATACAATACATTTATCCTCTAAAAATAATCAGATGATACAGAATTTTTGAGGAATAAATTTTATACAATGTAACTGGTGAGTGAAAAAAGCAAGTTACAAAAGCTTAAACTAAAAGCAGTTGTATTTATAGGCCTAAAATTTGAGAGATGATTCTTGTACTATCTTATCACATTGAATTGTGTTTGCAAGGTTTTTTAAGTCCAATTAATGAGGTATAATTTACAGAAAGTAATATTCATCCTTGTTAGGTATGAGTTATATGACTTTTGACAAACACATTCAATCTTATAACTATTATTGCAATCAAGATACAGTATATTTCCATCACCCTAGAAAGTTCTCTCATGACCCTTTGCTCAGTCTTCCTCCCATCACCTCCAACATCCTCTCCAGCCATTGGCAACAGTGCATTTCTTATGCCTGGTTATTTCATTCTGTACAATGCTTTTGAGATTCATTGCTGTTGTTGCTGGTATCAATAGTTGGTTCTTTTTTTATTGTTGAGTAGTATTTCATTGTTTGGCTGTGCCACAGTTTATTCATCAGTTGATAAACATTCCAGATGCCTCTAGTCTACAGCAGTTATTAAAGCCTGTATAAACACATGTGTATAGGTTTTTATGTGGACATAAGTATTTATTTCTCTTTGGAAAATGTTTAGGAATGAAATTGCTGGGTCGTATGATAAATGTGTAATTTTATAAGAAACTGCCAAAGTGCTTTCCAAAGTTGCTCTTTTCTTAACAGTCCCAAGAGTCCTGGGTTAATATTGCTTCTGCCTAAAGAACTTCCTTTAACATTTCTTGTAGCAGATGGCTGCTGCCAATGATTTCTCTTGGCCTTTTTTAGGGGAAGGGGAGTGTCTGGAAAAGTATTCAGCCTTCATTTTTGGAAGATATTTTTACTCCATATATGTCTGGGTTGACTTTCTTTTTTCCTTTGATACTTTAAAGATGTCATTTGATTGTCTTTTAGCTTACATAGTATTAAATAAGAGGTCTGATTTATTTCTTTTCCTAGTTCCTTTGTGTATAAAATGTGTGCTTTTGCCCGGCCCTCATGGCTCAGTGGTTGAGCATCAACCTATGCACCAGGCAGTCATGGTTCGAATCCTAATCAGGGCACATGCCCAGGTTGCGGGCTTGACCCCCGCAGTGTGTGTGGAGGGGAGGTGCAGGAGGCAGCCGTTCAATGATTCTCTTTCATCATTAATGTTTCTTTCACCCTCTCCCTTCCTCTCTGAAATCAATAAAAATATATTAAAAAATAAATATAACAAAATAAAGTGTATGCTTTTTTTCTGGCCACCTTCAAGATTTTCTCTTTGGTTTTCAGCAGTTTGACTGATACGTCTAGGAGTTATCCTGTTAGAATTCTTGAGTCTATGATGTGATATGATGTCCTTCATTATCTGTGAAAAAATTCTCACGCTTTATCTCTTTAAATATTCTTTTCTGCTCCTTTCTCCTCTTTCTGGGATTTCAGTTACTCATATATTAGACTCTTGATATTATACCCAGCACTTTTTACATACTGTGCTCTTTTTATTTTACCCTTTTTTTCTCTTTGTGTTTTAGTGTGAATAATTTTTATTGATTTATCATTAGGGTCATTGTTTCCTCAACTGTGTCTAGTCTGTTGATGAGATTGTTGAAGGAATTTTTCATCTGATAATTTTATAGGATTTCCATATTACTATTTCTTAGATTCCATCTATCTGCTGAAATTTTTTTACAAATTTAGGTATGCCACCTTTTTCTCTAGATTCTCTAACATAGTAGCATAGTAATTTCAAAGTCCATGTTATATAGTTCCAGATTTCAGGTAATCTTTCAGTCTGTTACTGTTGATTGCTTTGTTTCTTGAAAATGTGTGGGGGGTTTTTGGTTTTGGGTTTTGTTGAGGGTTGGGTGCGTATTTATTTGGGTGAGGGTTTGTTTTTCTTTGCGGGGGTGGGGAGGCAGGGACAGGAAGGAGGGGTGCTGCTTACTTTATGTTTGTCTTTTCAATTTTAACTAAATTCCAGTCATCGTGTGTGGAATTAGAGGGGCTGAGATCAATAGTATTTATCCAACTATTATGGGAGGTTGAGTCAATGTAGTCAGAAGCTGGGCTGGGTCTGGGTGTTATTGCTGTGAGTTCTGTCAGTTCACCATAGCTTTTGAATTCCTTTAGCTGTGGGCTGGTGTTGCCTAAGCATGGGGACCTAGAGGCCGGGGGTGGGGGGTTCCACCTCGGCTTTCAGTCGTCCTGTACAGCTGAACCACAGTGGTGCTCTTTCACTCTTGCAGCTGCGTGACAGGTGACCTGTTGCTGTTTGTCATTCTCTAAGGGAGTGTTCTCTGTTGTTCTGAACAGTCTCAGTCTTAGGACCCCTGTACAGTGCCTGTGGTCCATGAAAGGAAATGGGAGCTTTTTTTTTTTTTCATTGTTTCTGTTCCGTTTCTCTCTGGCAGCCAAACTCTGCCTTTAATCTGTGAGTGGTTTTGAAGAGTTTCCTCCTTTCCTTCCAGCAGTGGGGAACCCGTGCTTGGTGTCAGTATGGAGTCTTTCTCCCAGAGATGAAGAGATGTTTTTCTTCTGCCCTCTTCCAGTCCTCAAATTAGTCTTTTCCTGTGCCTAGGGCTTTGTCGCTTTTTCCTAGTGGCTTAAGGCTTTGCTTCATAGAAGGTTTAGAGACTATGGAGAAAAACTATTTACACTAATGGATGATTTCACAGATGCTATTATGAGGGTTCTAGTCAGTGGACTTTATTTTGATCATAGTTACTTAAAATAACAGAATATTTAAAAGCTGGATTGAAGGTGTTTTTTCATTTCTATATTTCATTTGCTGATTTTATTTCTGCTTTCTGAAACTATTTCAGTAATCCTTATTGATGATTATGAGGGGTTTTGACTTTCCCAAACCTTTTTAGCTTTTGGCATTATCCTTTTTTATTTTTAATTTGTGACTGTTGAAAGTCAGTGGTACTAAGTGTGCTCTTAACTTAAAATGGAAATGTTCGTAATTGTTAGAAGGAACAAAAGTAATACCCTACTCAGTGATACAACTATGTGCTTTAGATTTTAAAAACCAGGATGAACTGTATAAATTTTTTAAAATGTATCTTTATTGTTGAAAGTATTACAGATGTTCCCTTTTTTCTCCCTATTTACCTCCTCCACCCCACACCCCAGGCCTGCACCACATTATTGACATTATTGTCTGTGTCCATGGGTTATACATATATGCATATAACTTAGTGATACAGTTATGTGCTTTAGATTTTTAAATCCAGGATTGTTAAAGTGACTCTCGTTAGTTTGATAGACATTATAAATGCCAGACTACCTTTTTTTTTTTTTTTAATTCTCATTTTATTTGTAAAAACTCTTCAGTCCTCAGAGAAATGATCAGGCAGAGTAAAAACTTCTTGAAAGACAGGGTAGCACGCTGGTTATGAGCATGGAGCATGGAGCCTGGAGCCAGTTTTACATCTTAGTGTGGTTGTGTGACTTTGACAAGCTACTAGACTCTTTATGCCTCAATTCCCTCATCTAAATGGAAGATGCTGATAGTACCTATCTCAAAGGCTTATTGTGAGAATTATGAGAAAATATGGAAAGCACTTAGAACATTGCTTGTACAAAGAAATGATTAATATATCAATGTTATTTTCATTGTTTGCTATAAGAATGGAGTCATTTCATAAAAGTCACGAAGAGATGTTACTAAGCTGAACCAAATCAAAGATGGGAAGGCAAGGGACTGGGAAAATATACATGTAAAAGATTACTCAGCCAGAGGCCATAGGGAGAGGAGGGCATAAGGAGTGAAGCGGAAGTAGAAAGCCATGGTTAAGTTTGATCAGATGGCTAGTTGTGATCACACGTAATACTGCAGTTGGGTACTTAAAGCCAGAGCTAAATCCATGGGGCAGTGGCAAAAGGGAGGAAGAAAAGAACAGGCCACAGAAGAACTGGCCAGAGAGCATAGGCTGCCTTCTGTATCCCTTCATTCTGATCAGAACACTGCTGATTTGTAATCAACTTCCTAATGGATTATTCCAGGTTTAGCTGTGTGAATTTCCACGAAATATTTAACCCCTGTGAATTTCACTTTCTTTATAGAGATGATACTAGACTTCTTAAGGTTGGAAGGCATTATTAAGTTATTAAAGGGAATAATTCATGTAAAATGTTTATCATCTCAGGACCTTAAACATAGGAAGTGTTCTGGATGGTTATCATTTTCATCACCATCCCCACCATCATCATCAAGTGATAGATAGAATCCCAACAACTGAATTTTGACCTGACATAGCCTGGTCACTTCTTCTCATTCCTTAGGAGTTTAAAGGAAATAAGTATACAGAAACCAGGACCAAACTAATACTTATACTATGAAGTGTAATCTTCATACTTTTTTGCTACTTTTTCTTGTTGTGCTAAATAAGTGTTTATAGCAGATATCCTTGTCTAATTTCTATTCTTAGGGGACTGTCTTTATCAGCTCAGGCTGCCATAACGAAATACCAGACTGGGGTTGCTTAAACAACAGAAACTTAGTTTCTGACAGTTCTGAAGGCTAGAAGTTCAAGGTCAAGGTGCCAGCATGACTGGGTTCTGGTGAGAGCTCTCTCTTGGCTTATAGTCACCTTCCTTTTTATCCTCACATGGAAGGGGCAAAATAAAATAATTATGAAAAGCCTTTGATCTAGTTTTAAAACATTAAACAGAGACTGAGTCCCCAGAATATATGGAATGCCATTATCACTTTTAATGCAATTTATGTTTATAACAATATTTGACTATGAAAAAATTAAATTGAAATAAACTGCTTTCCTTTATATTTTATAGGATAGTAATTAAGAATGCAGAGAAAAGGCAACATGTAAAATAGATTTTTCTGTTGGATTGCCTGTTCCGATTCCTTCCTTCATTTACTAGCTCTGTGATCCTAGCAAGTTACCTACCCTCTTTCATCGTCAGTTTCTTCATCTGTATAAAGGACATAATAGCACTACCTGTCTTCCGGGGCTTTGAGAAAAGTTCAGTGACGATCTCTGTAAAATGCTTGGCGCATAGCAACCACATTCATTGAGAACCCTCGTCATCATTTTTGTTGTTAAATTGAAAGGCACTTGAAAGTAATACAAGTTAAGGAAGAAAAGTTTCTTTTAGATACAAACTACTTGAAGTTAAAATATAAATAAAATAGCCTTACTAAGATAATTTCTTAGAGCATGTGTCTGACCAAATGATTTTAGTTAAAATATCTCAATTACATGTAAAAGTAGCCTTAGAATACATCTAAAATTAAAATATTTAAATATTTAACAAAATGAATTTGAGAAATAGAGCCTTGTCACATTGTAATAAGTTATAAATTAATTTTTACAACTATTTGTTCATTTTAATTATTTAATTTTTAGTAAACAGCTATATTATACTCGAGCTTTTTTGAAAAAGTTTTCTAACCAATTAAACAGTTGATTTTTAAATAGCAGTTGTGATGTGTATCTAAGTCTAAAAGTTGATATTGTCGCAGATATAAACATTTCTTAAAATATTAAAATAGACAGTGTTTTCATGAGAAACTGTTACTAAAGTATATAATTTAGGTGGTTAGTGCTGGTTATTTGACTACCAATTTCTTAGAAAGTATGTGCCAACCCATTTCTTTTATCACATAAAATAAAAAATCAGATGTTTGAAAACATTGTGCCCAGGATGCAGGGGCATATTACTATTAAGAATACATTGGATTTCTGTGAATTTACCAGTACATTTATAAGTCTAAAGAAGTATGTCTTTCACAAGGAAAATAGAAATTTTTCAAAAACAACTTAAAACATTGCAATATTTTTATTTTCTTCTATCAGATGATTTATAAACATATTACTGTCTTCCCTTACATTTCTCAAAAAACTTGGTGTTTTTCTATTAACCAAAATATGTACATATTATTTACTATTTACTTTTATAAAGGTTCAGAGGTCCAAAGAGATGACATTCTGTGGATAGCCATGGCAGGGACTCATCAGATATGGGCACTCCTACTGGACTGTGGCCGACTACCAAAGAAAAAGTAAGTGGCAATATCTCTTTTGGGGTAAACTGCACAACTTGGAGTTCACAGAATTCCCTTTTGCAAGTCTCCATCCTCTCGACACTTACTGTACTGGTCAGGAGGTGCTGGGATACACTACCATGACAAACAGCCAGATTCTCCGTGGCTTAAGACAAGGCTTGGTCCTTTGCTCACTCACTTAGGTGCACCGGGAGCACTGCTCTGCCACAGGCTAATGCTGCAGCCACCATCTAGAGCTCTGCCAGTCATCCTGGCAGAGAGAGAGAGGGGCGGTGAGTCGCTTAGTGCCTCTTAAAGCTTCTATTCAGAAGTGACACATCACTTCTACTTACATGTCATCAGCCACAGTCAGTCTCACGACCACACCTCATCTAACTTCAGGGACCCTGGATGAACAATCCCACTGAGCGTCCAGAAAGAAGACTGGAGGCATTTGGTGAGCACTTCCTTTTGACTCACAGTGCAGGCATCCCCACTCGTTAGTCCAGGTATTTGAGTGCTATAAAGCATCGTGGTTAATAGCTCGGTGTTGTAGTCAGGCCTGAGATTGAATCCTGATCTGCTATTTACTATCTGTGCGAGCGTAGGGGAGCCACTTTAACTCTGAGTTCTTATTTATTCTTCCCTCTTAGGTTTGTTTGAGAATCAATATGTGTGAAGAGCTCAGCCTAATGCCTGGCATATTCAGCAAATGGTTGTAGCTTTGTTGTCACTGGTGGGGATATAAAGGTGAAAAAGTAGTGTCTCTACAAAGTTTCTTATATCTTTTTCGATAGAGCCTTTTCTCTTCTTCCTAACACCCCAGGTAGAACTGATCATAGTCTTCCCTGTGATTTCACTGCACTGCTTACGTAGTTATGTCACTGCCCTGGTAAGTTCGTCTTCTCTTCCCCTCCCCACCTCTCTCTTTTCCTCTGACTCTCCTTATTTGTTAACTATTTTGTCTTACTAGACTGCCTCTGAAAGGAAAGAACCCTTTCTCATTCATTTTTGTGTTCCCCATACCTGGCACAGTATCTAGTACATATTAGGAGCCAGTAAGGGTTTGCAGAATAAATAAATGAATGAAAGTATTAGCCAGAAAGACTGTCAAGTCACCATAGAAAATGCCTGTCATCCTGATTACCTTTATCAATAGAAAGGAGTTGTATGCATAATCCAAAATATCAGATATATTTCAAATAGTGTGTATGTGTGTGCTGTGTTGTGTGATGCTTGCAACAGTTAATTCCTCTATTTATTAAACATACTGTATGCTAGGCACTATGCTAGGCAATAGGAATGAAATATACTCACTGATTAAGAATAAAATGAAAAGATATGGTTGCTGTCCTCAGTGAGCTTACAGACTAAGAACCAGATTAGCAAACAAACAAGACAGTTGGGGAAGATGCTGTGTATAAAAAAAGTTACTGCAGCAGTCCTTCAACTTGAAATTGTCCCTTGTGTAAATAAGAAGAATACCTGATATCCATCAAGGAAGGCTTCCTGGAAGAAACTAATAGACTGAAACCTGATAGAGGAGTAGGACACAGACCAGGAGAGTGGAGGTTCTTCAGGCAAGAAATGACTCTAGTCATGTCAGTAGAAGCCATATCACAAAGTGCCTTGTGAGCCCTTTTAAGAGATTTGAACATTACATGCCTTTCTAGAAAGTTTTAAGCTTGGAAGTAACATAATAAGAATTGTTTTTTAAAAAACACTGGGGACATTTGGAAAGGTACAAGACTAGAGACATAGATAGAAGTGAGGAGGTTATTGTTGTAATCCAGGCAGGAGATGATAGTAGCCTAAACAGTGAAGTGACCAAACATTTTCCATGAGGCGTAATTTTAAACAGCAGAAAGAAATAACAGAGATGGCCAGAATGTTCTAAGTGATGGCTGTGTTGGACCTAAATGGTCAAGAGTTGACTAAATACCAAATAAGTAGAGTGTTTACTCTCATTCTTATTAGGAAAGTATCCACCCAGATCACATTGACCTGTATCATAATTTTAAGGATGTTTTATCTTTGTTACTGATCTTTGAGTGGGAATGACTCCTACCATTTTAGAAGTTACTGTTTCCACTCTTTCTACCTCTTAAGGGAACTCCTTTTTAGATTATGACTCCTTGTAGTAATTACCTTTAATTTATTTGTTTGACATGTTAGTTATTACCTGTATTTCTCTGACTAGATTTTTTTTCCCAGTTCCTTAAGTGGCCATATTTTATACACTCTATATCCCTTTGCCTCCATCCTCTGCTCCCTGCCTAACTGAGCTTTGGGAACATATCAACCAAAGAGTGACTGATGGTCATTTTAGACTTTTGTATATTGTGCCATATTTGGATGTGATATGCATGGAATCTCATTATTTTGCTTCAAAGTCAGCTTCTTCTCTTTCCTTACAATCCCTCCAGCATAAATTCAGAAACTGTGGTGTAAAACTTTCTCTGCATTACATAAGGAATCCTGCAATAATCCTTGAAGTAGAAAATTCCCTAGTGTATAAAGAAATTGATTTGCATAATTGATTTGTTAGAGCAGCATAATCATCCTGTATTCGTTTCTTAAAGTGGGTAATGCTTGAGCTGGTTGTCTGTCGAAGTAATCTTTCAGTCTACTATGTATAAGAAAACAAAACTTTTTAAAATGGAAACTCAAGCTTTAATCTATCAAGAGCTAGATAATCTTTTTAATTCCCTTTCAGGACCTAATATTGTATGAATCTAAGAAGAAGTTAAAGTGGGATCCAGCTGTACCTGTCCCTGAACATTTGGAGGGGAAAAAAACATCTATACCATCAATGATACAATCACTATTCTTGTAATTCTAACCTTGTCAGGGATTTCCTGTCTGACCACTGAGAATAGTTTCAGTTTTATGTATTTCAAAAATGTAGAAAGGTCCCTACACAGTGGATAAATAGGTTAGTTAACAATTAGAAAAACTACAGTGAAAACTGACTTGCACAATTTAACTGAGCCAAGATCACTAGGTTTTATTTTTTTTACAATGCTTACCACCATTGATTTCATCATTAACACTCATTTGTTTAATAACTAAATTGGACACATATAACAATGTTGACTTCACCTATGAATTGTCTTTTTCAGTGACTTAAAAAAAGGAACCTGCCTTCGGTTTGCTGGAAGTGGAAATGAAGAAAATCGAAATAATGCATATCCTCACAAGGCAGGTTTTGCCCAACCTTCAGGTCTCTCTCTGGCCTCCGAAGATCCCTGGAGCTGTCTGTTTGTAGCTGATAGTGAGAGCAGCACTGTGAGAACCGTTTCACTGAAAGACGGAGCAGTGAAGCACCTTGTAGGAGGAGAAAGAGATCCCATGGTAATGAAATCCCTCCTGCACAGTGTGCCCAGACACTTAAAAAAATGCACTTTTCTGAACTGTGAATAGTTTGTAAAATTTGGGGGAGAGAGCGTTCTTGGCCTATCCATAGGTTAAAATGTAAGTCAAGTCAAAGGAAAGGTGAATATAAAGAAACATAAACAAAACCATGTAAGAAAAGCAAACTCACTCTAGTTGATTATGTATAAACTAGAAGCTCGGTGCACGAAATTCATGCACGGGTACGGTCCCTAGGCATGTCCAGTGATCAGGGCCCATCAGGTTCCCCGCCTCCTCTTCCCTCAATGCCCACGTGCCGCCAGCGCGCGGTTCCCGCCCCCAGACTCCTCCTTTCCCCTCGCCACCCGCACCCCGCTGCCACCGGTCGCCTGCCATGTTCCACACCACCCCCTGGTGGTCAGCACACATCACAGCAAGTGATTGAACTCTCATTTTCTTGGTCAAACTCCCAAGGGACACTTTGCATATTAGCCTTTTATATGTATAGATGTCCAGACTTCAGAGAGAAAGGAAGGATAAAATATTTATTAATAAGAGGAAAGTGTAAATTAGATATTTGGCAGGATGGTATAAAGAGTACCAGATTGGTCAGCTTGGCCTGTTCCTGACCAGATGTGTGATTATTGTCAATAAAACTATAAAGTACCACACAATAATACAAATTCAAAATTCTATCATTTTTATTCTAGTCTGAATCAAATACCTAGCCCTATTTGTATGAAATCAGACCTTTTCCCCTTTAACTTAAGCAGCATATACAGCCATCTTAATTTTCACTTTATATGCTAACACAACACTGTAGAAATTTTAATATGAGCTGTGTTTTTTTTTTTTCCTTTTTTAAAAAAGAACTTATTTGCTTTTGGTGATGTTGATGGAGTAGGAATCAGTGCAAAGCTTCAGCACCCCCTTGGAGTAACGTGGGACAAGAAAAGGAATTTACTTTATGTGGCAGACTCATATAATCACAAGGTGAGTCTTGACAGAATTATATAACACCTTGTTTTTCATCTGTTGTATTTAAAATGCTGAAAAACCTGTGAGCCTCCTACAGTTGCCACTCGAAAACATAAAGAGGAGTAACAGTCTTTGACAACTATATATAAGACCTCTTTTCTTTTCTTGGTCCTTTCTTTGCAAAGAGGGTATGATGGTACTCTGAGCTGGGGAAAGGACTAGTAAATAAAACATGCTTCCAATGGATATAGCCAAAATTGGGAATTGCAACCCATCAAAGCTGCTTAGTAACAAATTCAGTAAATAAGGAGAAGGTAAGTAGCACAGAAATTAATATGTCATTTATCAAATGAACATTTTTTAGTTGGATAGTTGTAGCACCTATTAGCAAATAATTCTGTTAAAACAGAATTAAAAGCATTTCATTTATCCAACTATTCCTATTTTTATTTTTTATAAAGTTCGTGGAAAATTAATATTGATATTTTGTGATGAAAGACTATAAATTTAATACAATTGAGACAAAGGAAATCATTAAGTTTAACATAAGTAGCAAATCCTCAGCCAATGTTAGATGCTCATGAGAAGTCAGTCCAACCGTATCCCATTTTGAGAAAAGAGAATAATATTTTGAAACTTAAAAAAATTTCATCCAAGTTTATTTCTAGAGGGTAAGATGTAACTGGGGATTTTACATGGTTTTCAGCTCTCCCCTTAGACTATAATTTGAATGTTTGGCTTTTTCAAGAAAATGTGGAAATGCCTATTTTCCTATGATTTTTTTTAAGAATACTAATAAGCAAAAATTCTCTGGCTTGCTTGATTTTGTACTTTTCCATACTGCAAACATGAGCTTGAGTTTCAGACATATGATTTTTTTTCATTCTTTTTAGATTAAAGTTGTGGATCCAAAAACAAAACAGTGTACAACATTAGCAGGAACTGGAGATGCAAGTAATGTCAGTTCCAGTTTCACCGAGTCGACCTTTAATGAACCAGGAGGCCTGTGTATTGGAGAGAATGGCGAGTTACTATATGTAGCAGACACAAATAATCATCAGATTAAAGTGATGGATTTAGAAACAAAAACGATTTCTGTGGTAAGTAATCTTAAAGTATACCATTTTATGAGTGACTTTAAGATCTTTAGCACTGACTGCACTCTTGGTTAGTCCGTCTCCAGTTGTGAAAGTGAAGCACGTAGGTAGAAGAGTACGTGAATGTCTGTGTGAAGGATATCATTTTCTTTAAGTAAAAATTCCATTTGTGTCTAGAGTGTTTGAGAAAGATACTGGGAGTTGGAAAGATTTTGAACTTTCAGAAAAGGAAAAAAAAAAAGAGTACTCCTCTGTTTTTAATTATGTGGACACACTGACACAATTACCCTCCCATACTGTGTGGGTTGGGTTGTTTAGTCTTATTTTTATTGATTCTTAAATTAGCATGTAATCTTTGTTTCCTATGGTGAATCCATTACCAAATGGTCTTCCCAAGGAAGCTCTAGAAGCCATGTTTCTCAAGACATTGAAAATAAGATAGAAAGAAGTTCTCATCAATTTTTAAAGATATACACATGGTCTCCAATAAAATTTTTTAAAAATGCAAGAGTTTGTTTTTCCTAAAATTCTAGGAATTTCCAAGGTATATTATGATGACAATGTGTTTTAAAGCATGTAATTTCTTGTGACACAGAGCTGATATATGAATGGCATCATACAGTTGGCAATAAAAATTATAAGAGGATGTATATTATACCCACTACATTTAAATTGATATAGTTTTAATTTTCTGCCATCCATAAACATATTGAACAATTAATTTCTTTTTCATTCATAAGTGTTGGTAATTTTTTTGCCAAAACAAAATATATTTCTAAACCTCATTTCAGCCTGAAGTCTAAAAATAAACTCTCACTCTACAATTATTGTAAAGTACCTGTGCTTGAATAAACACATTTTCTTATTTCCTAGCTCCCGGTCTTCAGCTCTGGAAATGCTGTGGTAGATGGCCCGTTCCTAGTAGAAAAAGTAGAAAAACAGACAGTACCCAAACTACCGAAATCAGCTCCCGCTGTTCAACTCCCCCCCGTGGCTGCATCTCCGGGACAGACTCTGCAGTTCCAGCTGAGATTAGACCTCCCGTTAGGAACAAAGCTCACTGAAGGGGCACCCAGTTGCTGGTTTCTAACAGCTGAAGGTATGTGAATAATCTTGCAAGTGCAAATATTCCATAAATTCTTGATGTTTAATCTTTCTCATTTGTATATGATATTTTTACTCTCTAGTTGGGCAACATTTGAGGGAAGTCTTGTGACAAAATAGATCTAGATCTAACCCCACTTTAGCAGTTTTCTTTAGTCTTTGAAATTCTTTTATCTCTTTTATTAAAAAACTGTAACTCATCCAAAATTACTCAATCATAATTGCCTGCATTTGCTACTAGGCAAGTCCATCACCCGAGGCTGACCTCTGTGGTCTCAGAATGATAGGTCCTCCAATGTTAGAGCTGTGAAAGGCACCTTCTATTATGAGGAGGACTGATGGCTCGAAGAAATAGTGATTATAATAACTGCTGGTACTAATTATGGTAAATGCTCAAGGACATATATGGAATTAGGCCAAAAATGGAATTTGAACCCAGTTCTGCTTATAATTGATTTTGTCTTTTCCATTGTGCTACTTCCTCTCAAACTAGCTATAGAGTTATTAGTCTTAAAAATTAATTTCATTTTTTTAAAAAGAAAGTTCAAAACCCCACCAATTACCCATTTGGATGTTATGAAAGTTTCTAAACCTTACTCTCAGTGTCTGTACTTACCTCATGGTCTGTGAATGAGTACCAGTCCACTGACTATCCTTGGAGTGGCACCATGCTAGGGCACTCCAACATGCAGAGCACAGAGGGAGGAGAGGGACCAGGGAAGCAAGCAGGAGCAAAACCCAGAGAATGTCCAGCTGCGTCAAGAGTTATTAACAGATCAGGTAAGATAAGGACTAAGAATTGATCATTGATTTAATGTTAGAGAGTTAGTTGATGTCCTCTGAATGATGGAGGTGAAAACAGAATAGGAGAACTAGAGAAAGCAAATCCAAATAACTCAGGAGTTTAGCTGAAAAGATAAGAGGAAATAGAGCAGTTGCTAGAAGAGGGAATGGAGTTAGAGAACAGCATGTTTATCGATGGCAAAGATCCAATAGAGAAAGAGTTGATGAGATGTGGTGGGACCAGGTGCACAGTAGATTGTGGGCATTTGCACAGTTAGGAGAGAAAGCCCCTGTGTGACCCAGAGCTGTGGAGGGTAGGCTTTGTGGAGGCCCTTTTCTGATGCTTCTGTTTTCTTGGGAAGCACGGGCCATCAACAGAGTGAGTGAGAGGGGAGAAGGTTTTGGAGGTTTGAAGAGAGAAGAGGGTCATCCAGGAGGATGGGAGGGTGAGTACCTGAAGGAAAAGCAGTGTGATTGCTGAATAGCTGGAGGCTACCCGTCAAGGATGGAAAGCCAGACTAGTCCACATGGAGGCTGTTTCTCTCCAGCCAAGTGTAGCCACAGGGTGCAGGCAGTGCAGGTGAGTGTTGAGTAGTAGTATAAGCAGGTCTGCTACAGTGGCAGGTCATGTGCCGTCCACGTGGGTCTCCAGTCCTTATCCAGTATTCACTGTGTTTGCCACTATGCCTTTCAGTAATAGAATCTCACAGATTCTGTTCTAAAGAATTAAGTTGATTTTCCCCTTTAGTATATATTTTTAAAAACATATGCTTACGAGTATATATTTGTAAAAACATATGCTTGCTTTTCACTGAAGAAATGACATGAGCTCTTTCCAATTCAGTTCTTTGGTTGTGTTATCTTTTGCTTTTCAAGATAGCATCTATCAAGTGTTTTAGAGCTTTCAATTGCTGTTTATTTTACTTCAATATAATAGTATCATTAAGACTTGACTTACCAGTTACTAAGCCTGAAGCCACATTTTCTTCTTTAGAGATGCCAGACAGAATTAATGCTCCATTACTCGCTTCCTACAAGAAAACAGGTTCCAAAGCCATATTTTAAAAGTATGCCATTCAAGTAGAAAAATACATTTTTGGAGGGTGTGTAATTGAAAACAAATGAATTACTATGAGCAGAATCCAGGCTAATAATTTGTATCCTTTTAATCTAAGAATACTTCTTGTTTGAGCCTATTTTCAAAGTACTCAGTTACTGTAAATTAGATGAAGCTTTGAATGTGTGTTTCAATCAGTGTGAACTTAGCAGTTTGTAGTAAGGAATCAGTGACCTGCCTGCCTTACAGCAGTGCTCTCTAGCCGCTCTAACAGACTGGACCCTAACTTTAAAGTAAAATATTAGTTGTCCAGAACTAAATGCTGACTTGTCTCTCATGATCTTCCTCTGTCCTAGTCTCCCACGCTCTTTCACACGTTCTCACTCAATCTTCCATTTCCTCCCTGGCCCTCCTCCCTCGTGCCCTCTCACACACTTTTCTTTTGTACGTTACCCAGATCCAGGCTCTGTGCCTTCTTACCTTGGTGCATTCTCAGGCAGCAACTACTGCCCTGCAACAACACACTTGGTGTCCATACCAAGAGAACAGAGAGATCTTGGTAGCCAGGAGGAACTGCTGGATTCGAGCTTGGGAGTCTGGCTCTGGGGTATCTGAGCCTGTGTGGAACATCTCCTTACTCCCCACACCAGAGAGTGCTGAGTCCTGCAGTACTAGGAGGGTGTTTGGAGCTGGCTTTGCAGACAGAAGAGTACTCAGACCGTGACCACTCCTCATGCCTCCGTAATTCAGGCAAGCTCTCAACAGCCAGTTTAGCTGCCCTGCCTGTGTCCATTGGCCTGGAAGCATTGCATCATTTGGAGATCACTGTTAATTTAACTTCTGTGTGAAATATAGAGCAGTGTATTGATTTTTAAAATAGGATATTGACATGTTTAACTCTACTTTGTCAAACACTCAAATTAATGTTGATTCATTGGAATATAAATAGGGATAGTATTAAAGGAAAGTGTAGTTTATAGAGCAAATTCTTAGCTATTTTATCACTTGTCTAAGATATTGGTTCCATTTTTATTGTATAGGAGCAAATAAGATTTTTGGAAATTATTTTATAGGGTACATTTATACACCTATGATTAAAGGACATTTTTTCTTGGCCAGTTATTTAGAAACAGAATCTCTTATTTTTAACTAAATTTTGGTCTGTATAATCTTAGTTTTCAGCATATGTGAAGGTTTTAAGCCAAAAACAAACAAACAAACAAAAAATAGCCAGCACAAAAACAAAGCACCACTAGCATATTATAACTTCACAAATCGCATCTGTGACGTATCTGAGAAATATCTAAAGAAACATTCTGTGTTTTATTTCAAGAATTAGGTATTAAAAAGGCCCAGTTTACTTTGCTGTTTGATTTAAGATATAAGAACTTTCCCACCAGCCTGCTGTTTAGCAAAATCAAACATTCAATAAAATAAAACACTCCTCAGTTCAGAAATAAAGAAGGCCAAAGAATTTTAAAGATCATTTTAAAATAATTGTTTAAAAGTTCCTGCATAAAAGCTCTGGATTTAACTCTTTAGATTCTCACCTTTCCCCTTCTCCTTACTCTTATTTGGCATGTTTTTCTCAAGTTTGATTTTTTAGTCAACAGAATAATAGATGCAGTAAACTAAAGACGGGTGCTCTGAGTGTTGGCTCATACTGAGGTCAAAAGAAAGAGACAGGAAAGCTAAAGAGTAGGCCTAGAACCTCATCACTACTCAATAGGTGGTTCCATTTTTGCAGGAGCCATCAATCAGTCATTAGATTACACTCAGTGTATTCTACCTAAGACGTCAGGAAAGCGTGCCCTGCACTTCCCATCTGCTGGCTCTTGATCTCTAACCCCCTCTAAAGCTGAGTGTCTGTAAGCACGTGCTTCCTAGTGTGGTGCATGTGTTCCTTCTGACAGAAGGAACTAGATTAATAAAGACATTTAACGTTTTTAAATACTAGAAGATTAAAGTTTTTAGTGGTTATTAGACTTCTGTTATATAGATCTATGTATTAAGTCTTAGAAGAGTTTTATGTAATAAGGAAATAGACATAATCTCTTAGTTTTTACATTAGAATAATATATGCAGTATTATTTCTAAAAAATCAGTGTTACTTTTTATTACCTTTTGATAGTCAATAATGTATCATAATCTCAATTTGCAAGTCACTGCAGAGTTAAACATACATTTGTATTCCCTAGATTTTTTTGTAGTTTTCATATTATATTCCTGAATACTTTTTATCTTTCTTATACAGTCTTAATAATTTACCTTTTTACCTTTTAGGCAATGAATGGCTTCTTCAAGGACAGGTGCCATCTGGCGAAATAGAGAACATCGCCAGTCAACCAACCATCTCACTGCAGATTCCTGGGAATTGCTTGTCACCTGAAGCCGTTATATCTGTCAGCGTGTTTCTTTATTACTGCAGCGCAGACAGCAGTGCCTGTATGATGAAGGGAGTTTTGTTCAGTCAGCCTTTACAGATAAGCGATGCACAGCAAGGCTGCACAGCTCCAGTAGAGCTCAAGTACGCGTTTTAGCAAGCAAGCTAGCAACCGGTCTCCACAGCCGTCTGTTCTCCATCCTCACTGTCACTGTAACTTATGACAAGAAACTTCACTCCTGCCTCTGGATACCAAGAAACCCACTGCTCAGTTCTAGCAGCTGATAGTAAAGTACAGCTATGCTCCTTATTTAATTATTTATTATAAGCAAATTCCTTCGTTCTGGCTGTACCAACTAAGTCACTGACTATTGTCTGAACTATGTTGTTGTAATCTGTGCTGCTATTTGACACATGACTTAAGTCCACACTTATAGTATAGAGTATTATCATGAGATAATTTGCAGTGCTTGCTGATAACAATGATATCAAATATTTTAACTAACTTTTTCTACCTTTATTAATAGCGAGCAGCACACTTAAATGTGTAATTTCACATAACTTTAAAGAGTACCCGAGATCCAGTCCACATGTTCGTATAAGGACACCTGACATTCAGGGCATAAGGTCTGTTCTAAGCCTCTCCCTCCCCCCAAAATCTTTCCTCAGAGTAGAAGCTTAGAGGACCTGGGTGGTAAATGTGTTCTTCGTTCTCTTCTGCGGTTTTCTCAGTTGAAATACATTGAAAAGAGAATTTCTATTTTTATTATGTTACTTGCTCTTCTAACTTACCATTGTTAATGCCTTACAACTCTATACAGAAAAGTCTCTAAGGACATACAGACTCACTCCCTGAACTGTTTCCTGAATAAACAACCTTACCAGGTAATGAATGAGTCCTCAGAAATAGGACTTTCAAGGAGAAAGGATTTAGAGTCACATTCCTGTGATATTTTTTAATGATAAAGAATTGTGACAGCTGAATCATGGTCTGTTTTAGAAATTCACATTTTATGTGTAGGCATTAAATGCAGATTTGTTGGGTTCCAGGATTTTCAGGTCCCATATTCAGAATTTAAGTTAACGATCATTTATTGTGATATTTTTTAAAATTACTTCTAAGCCTTCAAAGTGAATTCCATGTAATGCACTTTCATGCTATTAATATGTATAATATATATCCTAATATGTTACTCTTTAAAATATTAAGGTTGAAACATACAGGGATTTGATAACACTTGGGTTTTTTTTAACCCCAAAAGATATTGAAAGTTTTTTTTTTATCATAATATCTCTTTATAACTATTTAAAAGCCTATTCTTATTTTTACTAAAACTGATTCAACAGGCTTGTGGTTTAATCAGCTTACAAGTTTTTTTAAAATCAGATGAACCACGTTCAATAAATATTTATAGACAGTATCCCTTTCCCCCTTCAAAAACAGTGCTAAAATTTGAAATATCTTTTAAGCACCACCATCTACCTATTTTCTTATATTTTTTTGAAATATAATTGAACATCCTACCTCTCTTTATTCAGGTTACCTAAATCTCTGCAGTAAGGAAATGCACAGATTAGGACTTGGACTTCATTTGTAACCTGCTAGTGCTATTTAAAGAGAGGTAGAAATGTAAAGAATTCTGTTTAAAATTATATGTATTTACCTCATAAACCTTTCCTCAAAATAAAAAAAGTTCTATAATAAAAGGCAAATAGGCCATGACCATTTTTTAATACCATTTGATTATGATACATCTCATTGCCAGTTGGATAGGATGAGAATATTTTTACTTTATCTTTTCCTATTTAAGGATATAAACTGTTTCACTCTCTAAAATAAGTTTATACAATTTTAACTTGATAATCCAGATATATCTGCTAATAATTTTTTAACATTGTACACAGACATATTGTATGCATTTTCATGTACATTAAAAACCCAAAAATATTTGTTTAGACAGTGTTTTAGGTTAGTATTTGACTTTCAAAGTACAGTTTTAATGAACATTCTTATTCTTACCCAGCCACCAGCCTGCATTGTTTTTTCACATTCCAAATATTTATATAATTAGTAGGATTTTTTGCAAATCATACTAAAGCAATAGAAATAACTTCCTAGAATTTGTGACTAACATAAACCTCTTACATAGAGGAAGTATGAGAAGGTTTATTTTTAAAAATTTCTTGATCCTTGTCTGTTTTCTGTTTACTATAGGAATGTGTATATTTTTAACTTTTGCTTTTCTCCTGCATAAATGATGATAACCAATGTAAGTCACCTTAATCATGATGCCAGGGGAGTGGCATTACACACACTTTGACATAATACCTGGAATCTTTGCCCTAAATTATTCTACTGGTTTGCCACTATTTATAGCATTTCACAGATGGTAGAATTTTTTTTCTGCATTTATACTTTGGATTGACATGATCCCTGAAAAGAGTTTTGCTAATCTTGAATATGCTGTCTCAAGCAAATATTTAACAACTATTCACAAGGGAAAAGTTGATAGTTTAATCACCCGTAAGTATAACTTTGGCAAAGTTCATTGACTAAAAAAATTTTCTCCTTAACTATTATAATAATATATTTAGTTATAGTATTGTCAGGCTGGAGAAAACTATAAATCTTACAGCTACAAAAGGGGTTTAATATGTGTGGATGATTGTATGTATATGTATATATGTATGTGTATATATATACACACACAGATACAAAGATCAACTCAGGAATTTCTCACAGAAGTTTCTCTTATGGCCAATATATTTTTGAGCTCTATAACACCACTGAAATAAGATATTTTCTGCTTGTTTCTCCATAGTTAAAAAATTGGGAAAGATATTGAAAATACTATTGCTGTAATATAATAATTGTCTGCTTATACAAAAGTTACCCTTAGTTTATATCTTCAATTAAACTATGTTTAATTGAAATTAAAAAATGTTCAATCTAACCACTATATTGGCATCATAGTTAAGAATCATCATCAAGAATCAACGAAATTCTGCCCTGGCTGGTTTGGTTCAGTGGATAGAGCGTCAGCCTGCGGACTGAAGGTCCCCCGGGTTTGATTCCAGTCAAGGGCATGTACCTCAGTTGCAGGCTCCATCCCCAGCCCTGGTTGGGGCGAGTGCAGGAGGCAACCAATCAGTTGTCTCTCACATTGATGTTTCTCTCTGTGTGTTTCTCCCCTGTCGCTCTCTTTAAAAATCAATGCAAAAATATCCTCAGGTGAGGATTAACAACAACAAAAAAATAACCTAAATTCCATAGTTCACAATTGCATAAAAATGTATGCAGAGGAACTATGTCAACTTAGTTTTTCTGAATGGTGGAATTATTGATATTTTTATTTTAATTCTACTTTTGTGTTTTTTCAGAGAACAATGTGTTATTTAAAAAACAACTGGAAATGTTTTTGAAAGATTTTAAATGAGCTAAATAGTAAGCACTTATTATATAATAACTTTTCTTACCAAAGATCAAAACATAGTTTAGTGCTCTTGGATCTACCAATTCTAAGTATGTGACTCAGTGAAGACAGAAGTGATTGTGGCTTTTTCTGCTGGTGTTTTGCTGTGTAGTGGGATGTAGTGGTTAAGAGCAGGGACTTTGCAGTCACTGGATTTAACCCTATAAAATGGGGCTACTACCCCTGTCTCATGGGGCTGCTCTAAGGATTCAATGAAATAGTATTTGTAAAGCATTTAGTAATTAATGAAGCTGTTAGTTATTGATTTAGTTAGTAATAATTTATGACCATAAACAAATGACATTATCTCTGCAACCACAATTTCTCTACCAACTATCTGATATGTTAATATTCACCAGAAATTGGGATTCAAGATGAGAAATCCAGTTTTATAATAAAGCATATTACTCTTTTATAAACTATATTATAGTTATAAAGGAACATATCTGTAGTTTTTTAATTTTTATTTTAAAGACCTTCTAGAACTAAGAGTCAAACTTTTTTTGAGAGGGTCTAGACATACTCACCCAAAACCACATCCTTGTAACATACTATGGATGGTGCTTTACAAAATCTTCATGCATTTTGCCTCATTTGAGCTTCCAGGTAACCTAAGGAATCAGACAAGTAGATGTTATGTCCATTTTGCAGCATAGGAAACAGCTTTAGAATGTCAGTGGCATATCAAGGTCAGATCCCCCAGAACATGCCTGATGCTGATGCTGCAGCGGTGCCTGGCGCCAATGACTGAACGGGGGTGATTGGTGGGTCTTTTATTTAAACACAGGTCTCCTCATTCCTAGCACTACTCCTAAATGTAGAGTGAGAATAAACTGAGCAATTAGGAGTACTTGTTTCCTTCTGTGAATGCTTTCTTTAGCCTTTGCAGTATTTAAGTAAATAAGGATAATAGCTAAATTTCCTGAGTGCTTGCTATGTGCCTGGCACTTTTCTAAGTGCTTTATATGTATTAACTCATTTAATTTTCACAACCACCTTATGAGGGAGGTACTATTTTTTCCTATTTCCCTGATGAGGAAACAGAGACACAATGAAGTTATAAGCCGTTACACAAACATAATAGATCCCCCATTTAGGAAGAGGCTGTATTGCCTCTCAAAGTTGTTGTCTTAAAAACAAATCTTTCATAGTTACATGTAGTAACTAATCAATCCAAAGAACCAAAAAATCCTATTGGTAATTGGTTAAAATTTAAATTAGCTCTAGCCGATTTGGTTCAGTGGATAGAGTGGCGGCCTGTGGACTGAAGGGTCCCAGGTTTGATTCTGTTCAAGGGCACATGCCTGGGTTGCGGGCTCGATCCCCACTGGGGGCGTGCAGGAGGCAGCTGATCAATGATTCTCTTTCATCATTGATGTTTCTATCTCTCTCCCCCTCTCCCTTCTCTGAAATTAATAAAAAAATATATATTTAAATTAAATTCATTCAATTATTTTAGCTTTGGGGATTTTTCATTATGCACTCATCTTTCAGAGTTTGGAACAATCTGTAATTGTTGTTCCCCCAAAGATTTTCTCTATCATTCTCAAATCCAGATGCTATCCACTTTTTCTTGGCAGGTGGGTGTATTAAAGGATTGAATAGCTTTTCAGTGTTCCAACAATGTCATTTTAATTGGTTTTCAAAAGGTAATTATAAGACCTTATCATAAAGTTTAACTGAATTTGTAGCACAGAACTGCCTCAAGCCCAAAATACTCATTTATATTTAAGGAAATTTTGTTTTAATAAGCAGAGTGAGCTCTAGAAACATAATATTTGGCCATTCTGTTAACACACACACAGGTCTCTGCTTACTTCATAAATAACACTGTGGTATGTAGACCCTCTCCTCCAACAGTGACTCAGATAGATGCAATTCCATTACAGTCAAGTTCTCCCCAGTCAGCCTATTATTCCAGCTTAAAGGAATGGAACAAGTGATTCATTGTTATCCAGGTACAAAAACATAAACATCTTTTCATTGTTAGTTTGTTAATTTAAATTAAGCAATATTAGAATTTGTTAATTTTGCTGAATCTTATTTCTAAAGTCCATAAGGAACTGTACATCAACTTAAAAGGGTATTGTTGTCCTTTAGAAGTAGAATTTCCCCTCTCACTGTTAGTCACCAAGATTCCTCCTCCTCTTCCTGTGGCACATAAAGAATTTAAATAAAGAATTCACACTTACCATAAGTCACTCTTTTTTCCTAAGTAAAAGTTCGCTTTTCCCCCATTTCCTTGCAATAGGGTACTATAACCAATAGTGTTAAAAGTTAGAGGATCAGCTAATCTGCCCCATGTGTATGACATGCCCAGCCAGCCTTGGCTCTTTCCCGTGCTAGAGACTGTGGGTGGGCCTGGCTGCTTTGGGATTTGCATCGTCTGACCACAGAGCCTCGGTGCTGGGACAGGAGGCAGCCTCTGCCGGCACCCCTTCCATTGCTGATTCAGTTTAATTATCTTCAGGGCTGGAGTCGGAAAGCGAAAGCCCTAGACACTTGTGGAATGTTTGCCTAGTTACAGGTATTCATTGTTTGGTGTGTCCCTCCTCTTTGCTGGCATGTCCCTCTCAAGTCTACGTACCAAAGGACGTTCCAGTCTGTTGAAAGCTCCGCAACCAAAAAGAGGAATCATAAGTATTTCTAATACCCTTCCCGGCCTGTACCCGCACCCACACACTGGACAGCACCACACCAGCAGCTAAACCCGTGCTCAGGGCACTTCTGTAACTGCCAGGGTGTGGCACGAATTCTTCCCCTAAGCAGCAACTTTCAGACCAGGAGTTGTTCAGTAACACAGAGTTCAGCAAAATTGTCAGATTTTTTTAACGTGCAAAATTTGAAACTGAGTCAGGCAAATGATCAACTTTCTTTTGCTTTTAATATACTTTGTTATGTATTTACTAGTACATTCAGAATAAAGCAAGATAAGACCTCATAATACTGATGGGGAGAGAAAAACTAGCTCTCAGATTTAAATAGGCTCAATGTAAACATTGTATGATTCTTTAGCATGCTCTGCTCATGAAAAATGTTAAGGTATGTAGGAGAAAACGTGAGTTGATAAATTGTGATAATGAAGAATAAAAATAGAATGTTCCTTTCTGAAAATGTAGGGCTCTGTCATGTAATAGTCTTCTATTTTTAGAACCTGTAGTTGCTCTGAGTCCCACCAGAAACCTTTTGGTTCTGTAAACCTGTACATGATGTTCATTATTGTGCCCATTACAGTGTTCAAAACGCTGACAGGTTTTTGTGTGTATAGAGTTGAAACGTTTTGTTCACGCATGCGTCTGATATTCAGCATCCACATTTACCTGTAAAAAAATACCCTACCACTTCCTCTCCACACCTAAGGCTTCCTCTCTTTAAAACCAACAGTAGTTTCTATGGAAGTTTCGCTGAGGAACTGTGGTTACAGAAATAACAGATACAGATTTTGCTGTGGTCAGTTTTTTCCCCCTAGAATTCCTAATATCTCAAATTTTCAAAGGAAATGTATCCTATGTGATTTTGAGATTAATTTTTCTCTATTTTGAGGTATACCTTCCTAATTATATTTTAGGTAGGTTAATAAAAAAAATGTTAAATTCTTACTGTTAAGGCCCATTAAAAGCCAGTTTAGAAATGTTTTAATTGCTGTCATTACTTGACATGTGGATTATGAACAAATCCAAATTTTCTGTGTGACATATAATTACTTTCAAATTGTAACAATTCATAAATTTGTCAAATTTTAAAGACAAATGCTTCTCCTCTTTAGTGTTGATAACGTTGTGGTTTTATTTCTGAGAATAGAGTTGGTTTGCTGTGCTGACTTCATGCCTGTCATTCCAAAGGTTTGATTGTATTTATTCTTTTTTTCCAAAGATGAAAAAATGCAATGAAAATCCAACTTACAAGGACATATATTGATATTTCTAGACATGGTCTAGTTCTAAAAGAATTTACTTGGTTTGCATTTTTTAAGCGTTTCGTGTAGCCAGATTAATATATTTTTATACAACACTGTATTTCTACATTTATTTCAAGACTGTTTTCAGTGACTTTTTCAGGTACCTGTGTTAACAGAAGGTTGTTTGGAACGAGTGTGTGGTGGCCTCTGTTATGGAGTCAGAGTGTAAAACGTGACTGGAAAGCGAGAGTGTGCTTATGCTGTACACTGAGGCCTAGTAGCTGTTTTCTAAAGCTTTGTACATTTTTTCCATGAAACAGATTAAATATTTTCTCTCTAAAGCCATGTTTCTGTTTTTTCAGTATGCTTTTTAAGTAAATTATGAGATAATTTTACTGCTTAGAAACCTGGAAGTGGTGAGTTCTTGTTTGAACTTTTGTGGAAATGGGCATTAATACTTAGTTTAAAAAAACAACAACAAAAAACTGCAAGCAAATAACTCAAAATAAAATCAATCGTAGTTACCATAGATTTTTCTGAAAACATTTGGAAAAGGTGCTCTTTTCAGGAAATGGTATTGGGAACATTTGAAAAACACAAAGTAGAGCTCCACTTAACAGGACCCAGAATTTGAAAGGAACTAATGACAACACAAAAAGAATACAGAAATGCCAGAGAAATAAAGGAGCATAGGGATGGGGATCTAAACACCCCGAGCTCAGATTCACAGACCAGACTGGCAGTTGCCGGGCCGGGAGGGGGGACAGAAATGGTACAACTTCCAGTAAAAAAACAACAGCCCTATCTATGTGCATATCTGTTTATACAAATACATACATAGATGGTCCTTGCTTGGCACAGAAAAGACCATAAAACGACTGTGCAGCTGAAACTGCAAAGCAATCTTGATCAATGAGAACAGGATGATTATTATTCCATGACCTCTAAAAGTGTTTGTTAAAATATTAAAAACTATCCATTATAAATGTATGGAAAATGACAAAAAATGAAGCTAATACCTAGTACACTCTAAAATAGTACAGATACTGAGAACTGAAGTTTTTACTTCTTCGTAAGAAAACTTTCCAAGGGTGTTGGAGCAATGCTTGCTTTCCTCATAAAATGTATGATACAGAGCAAGCTATCTTTCCTCTGCCCTGGCAAATTGTCATACTCCTTCCAAGTTGGCAGCAGCTAACATTTTAACCTTTGTGCCTTCAACGCTGTGCTCCATTTCCAAGAGTTCCTTCCATGTTAGATGCTTTGCCAGAGTCACTTCCTCTGAGACGTCGTCCTGTTCATCGCAGCCATGGCACTGATTTATGTTGATACGTTCGCCCTCACTACAGTTCAGACCTAGAGTCTATCTCACATCCCCATGGGCCGCTGTTGTCTCTGTACGGCTTTGCATTCGATTCAAATTCCCCTTCCAGTGTTTTCGCTTTTCATTTCTTTGCTCTACTTTTTGTCTTGTAGGCCAGTTTCCTCTTTTGATTATCTGTTGTAGTAAAATTGCTACGTGGCTCTATTACTGGGACACAAGAAGGCAACACAACGCCACTGTTTGCACTAGCAACATGCACAGTGACCAGTCACCAACAGACTTTGAAAGAAGTGACTTTACTGGTCACTGATCATGGGACACGCCTGTTATTACATAGTAATTTGTGGACCGAACAGCTAACAGTGACGTGTGTAACAGAGAAGGATGATTGCTTCTAAGTTAATATCCTGTGGCAACTGAATTTGTGTTGATTTAAACTGTAGTAAATGAAATTGTGCATGAAATAGAAAAACAAAGACACGGCAGACACCTAATGACTATATAGAGTTGAATACAGGGGATAGGGAGGGGCTAGTATTTATTTAGCATATATATTTGTATTGTTTGACTTTTTACAAATGCATATGATGATCTTTTTTTAGAGCAAACTAAAATGGGAAAAAGATTTCTGTTCCCCACAGTGGCAGTGCTTGTTTTGTGTGCATCCCAAAACAGATAACCAGAAGAGTAACGAGAAGCAGTGAATAAATGAATGTTTTTTCAGGGAGCCTATGGTGCTTTCCTAGACTATGTGAAGAGAAATCATGTCGAGTACCCTTGTCACACAGCATAATATCATACCCAAAGCACCAATTCTGTGCCAGCTGACCTGGCACCCTCACTTACTAACAGAATGGCCTTGAGCAAGTTACTTCACCTCCATCGACATTCAGTTTCCTCGTCTGTAAAACTGGATATTAATACCTTGTGAATTGTTTTATGATAATGTTAGGAAAGCGCTTCGCCCAGTGACTAACAACCAGTAAACGCTCCAGCACTGAGTCATTCGTGCCATGAAGAGCCCTGAGCCCTCCGCCCATGCACGTCTTCAAACAGAGGCCGGGAGGTAGTTGATCTAAGTATTTATCACAGTGGGTGGGAAAGTGGAACCAGATGACCTGAGTTCTGAGCCATTCTGGGATTCTGAGATTTGGATTATATATGGAAAAGTAGTTTGTTTAGTTTCACCTCAAAATAATAATTTGTTATTTATTTCTTCAGGTTTTATAAGATATTTTTTAGAATGCAACACACACTACAAAACAACTCAAGTATTGGTGCATTCACAGATTTTTAGTAAGGCTCAGAAAATGATTTAAAACACTTTTAGCGCCGAACCGGTTTGGCTCAGTGGATAGAGCGTCGGCCTGAAGACTCAAGGGTCCCAGGTTCGATTCCGGTCAAGGGCATGTACCTTGGTTGCGGGCACATCCCTACTGGGGGCTGTGCAGGAGGCAGCTGATCGATCTCTCTCATCGATGTTTCTAACTCTCTATCCCTCTCCCTTCTTCTCTGTAAAAAATTCAATAAAATATATTTAAAAAAATAAATAAATAAAACACTTTTAGCTAACCAAATGCAACATTGTTAGTGTAAAGAATTTTGTGTTAACTCCAATCTCTTGTTAATTCAATTGCGTTTTTAAATGCCAAACTAGGCAAGAAACTTCTAAGAAAAGGATTTTGAGGGGGTGGGGGGTTGAGTATTCATCCTGCTCCCTTTTTTTCTTTATGAAAATGCCACAAAAAGATTTGACATATCCTTTATATATACAAAACTTTACTCAGACTATTTTGAACTCCATTAAAATGAAGGCTTACAAAAAAATCATGGGCTACCCAACTTGTAGTGATTGTGCTATTTTACAGATTTGTGACGTTGATCTTAAAGCTTTAAAAAAAAAACCACATTATGTGATTTTTTTTTCATTACACATTGATGATATTTTGTGCTCAATTCTTATCTTGTCAGCTATTAAGGAACAGATATAATCAAGGAACTTGGATAAACGAAATGACAGGCAAATGAATTTCCAAGCTCCCACAATCTGAAATTCACCTTTCAATTTGTGAAGCAGCCCAGTGCTGGCTAATCATTTTCCAAGAGGGTATAAATCCTCCAAACAGTGCTGCTCCAAATTAGCTATTTATCCATTTCTCTATATAAAATAGATCAACATTTTTTAAATTGTGGCATACATATATAATTCAGTACGCACAATTTGTGTGTGTGTATTTGACCTGTTGTAGTCTCTAGTTTCTCCTTTTGGACCCAAAATTCAAATTCTAGTCAATCTTAGATCACAACTTTCATAAGCGGTAACTTTGATCATACTTTGCAAATCACAATTTAAATCTAGATACCACCTATTTTAATGTGGCTAAGAGAAGCTGACGGATAGTATCACTGTATCCATTGCTACTTCCTCTCGAGGCAATCACCGAACTACCATGAGAAGAATGGGAGGAGCCCTAAGAAAGGCCAGCTTGGGTAATCCTGCCAACAAGAAGAGCATTCAGGTCCCTTAATGTTGTTAAGATTTTCATTTGAAAGGAGTCAGCTCACTACATAATAGCTCTTTCTTTAAATTGAAATTGTTCTGGGTTTGGCATTTCACTTGAAATGATACCACCACCTTATTAGATAGAGTAAGCAAGATAAGGAGGATAAATATTTGAAGTCTAGTTTATCTCCATATCCTGGAAAGAGAAAAACAATAGCTTGCCCATGTTCCGGAAACTGACATGCCCTAGGAATCCAAGCATTGCGAGGGCTCTGATGAGCCTGTTTACCCTGTGCCCAGTCTTTGGGCAGCAAGGCACCTAGACAGCCTTGCAGAAGGTCAAGTAGAAAAGACAGCTGCTTTTGTTTACCCTTCGAAAGGAAGAGCAAGGCAATCAGCCGAGTGGCCCAGAGTCTTATTTGGTTTACTTGCACCTGCTGTTACAAACTTTAAAATATCCTTGGGTGTTTTGCCATGGTTCAGTGTTGTAGGTGAAAGGTACAAAACTGAAGTTATTGTCATAATTTATGTTAATAAAGTGCCCCTGCCAAATTCTGGAATGGATAAGGTGAGAGAGAAGCTGCATGTTAGTCGCCCATGAGAGCAGCCACCTAAAGGATCTAGCTTGTCTTAAAATGCTATTCTGCAACCTTGATGAGCCGTGCATCCTAGTATTTAACAACGTTGCAAAGAGATGACTTCTTGTGTCTAATCTACATACCTTGTGCTGCATGTAAGCTTTTCATTTGTTGGTTTCTCAGTGGACACACTTCCTCCCTAGCTCTTCATAACCTTAACCTTCTCTAATCAAAGTTAATCATCTCATATTTTAACATTTTCTTCAATATTAATTCCCCACATATTGCCTCCTAACTCTCTTTTCTCAGCCTTCTGTCTTCTGTCAGCCCTCCCTGAACTGTCCACGACCACCTAAACTTATAAAGCGACGCATTAAGCTATGCATTCTGTGGAAAGATAAATCATGCCAGGGATGAAGCATACTTCCTGAATGTCACATAAGGTGCTCTGGGGACCTCTTTCCAGTGAACGACCATAACTGATGGCAGTTATTTATAAACTAGAGGCCCGGCACACAAAATTCATGTGCTGGTACAGTCCCTAGGCCTGGCCTGTGATCAAGGCCATCTTCCTCGACTGCCAGCAGCCGGCCCACCCCCTGCCACAGCCTACCCCCAGTTCCCCATATGAGCCTGCCAGTGAGGGTAGTAGGGGGGGAAGGACTGAGAGGTTGGCCATTCCTGCCCCGCCACGGGTTGCCCTCTGCGTGTGGGGCGACCGGTGGGGCAGGGGCCTTGGCCTGACGCCGCCCGCATCCCCCACCACCCACCCCCAGTTCCCCATTCACCGTCGGACAATGGGAGCCTGCCGGCTGGGGGAAGGGACCAAGAGGTGGTCAGTGCACCTCATATGACTGATCAAGCGGTCGTTCTGGTCATTCCACAGTAAGGGTCAATTTGCATATTACCCTTTTACTATATAGGATTGTTCATTGTCCCA